CCCTACACGTGGCTGTTTGCATATAAACCGAATTACAGTTGAATGAAAATTCCATTGCTTAGTCACACTACCCGCCGTCAGATTTCAGCCACATTTGGGAGAGAGATGCTGCAGATCTAGACATTTTTGTTATCATAGGACCTTTTAATTGGTTGGCACTCTTATGTGATAAAAAAAAGTGAATTTTGTTGTTCGCATTGTTTTCTTTTAATAGGGAGAATTTAATGTGATTTTATTTTATTTTTATGCCCTCTGATTAAAAAATTGATTTGTTTGTTACTTGTGGATATATTTGATTATATGAAAATAAAAGACTTTTCTTGGACCTAAATTATAGATAATTTTGCCTAAAATAAAAATTTTATTTTTATGTGAAATTGAAGGAAACTTGGAAATAGAAATACAGTCAGTTTCTTTCTCATGGGGGAATTATGTTGATTGTTTTAAGGATGTCATAAAATATATTAAGCACATGTGAACCATTTATGTCCTATTTATGTTTTACCTTGCAGATATTTCTGTTGATTGTCTTCATGTGTATAACATTATTGATCGCCAGTCTCATCTGCCTTACTTTACCAGGTATGAGCTTATCCTAGCTTTTAGCTGATAATATGAAAGCATCAGGACCCCTTTTTTAAAAAAATGCTTTTTCCTTGAGAGGGACAGAGCGACCTCTGACATGGTCTTTACGCTGTGGGCATACCCCAGCCTCCATTAACCAGAGTCACAGGCATGTGCATGTACTTGGCGCGTACAGGGAGACCTTGTGATATGAATCTGGGACCTTCGTATGTGGCCTCAGCATCGTGGAGTATTGTGTACGTGCCACCACCATGGCTGGCCAAGAGTCTCTTTTAAACAAAGTTACATCTTGCTCAGATGTGATCTTTTATCACATATAAACTTGAAAAAGTGTTTCTGTCATTCTTGATTGAATTTGGGGTATTGATCCATTTAGGGCTCCATCTTATTGGACTCATTTATGTTGAAGCACAGGAGGACAAAGTCAAGATAGAGTTTACAAATTGATTTAGAAAGTAAAGTACTTGTGATCACTCGGTGTTTGTGGAATTGTCTCATTATGTATTTTCAAAGTCTTATCTCCTTCGAGCCAGCCTTTCACTGTTACTTATTTGCTCTTATTACATCTGTTGCTGGAGAATGGTATGATGGCAGCGGCTCCTTTATTGTCCGGTGTTCACAAATACTAATCCCTTGTCATTGTGTTTCTTGGAAGTTTCACCTAAACAGTGCTTCTTCATGTAATGAGATGCCGTGAATGAATATAATAACTTGTCTTCTTCCCAAGAGGTCAGAGATCAATGGGGGGTGGGTCCAGAGCCAGTGGCAAAAGCAGCTTGTTTCCCCCATGTTTTGTCCATATCTACCAGAAACCTCTAACATAACGAGTAAGATAAGTTTCCATTCTTACCAAACAGAAGTGTATACTGTGTTAATAGCCTTGACCCTAACACGAACTCAGTATACTTAAATGAGTCCAATTTGTGTTAAATATTTGAATTTTCTCCCATGACGGGCTAAGAAAGGAAAAAGAGCAGTTTGGAAAAGTATTTTCCAGGGGTGTGTTTTTTAAAAAAATTTTATTAATAGGAAATGTGTTTTTGCCTTAACCTGCTAAAAAATATTGTGTCTATATAGTGAATTTTGACTTTAAGACTGGTTTTAAGCTCACTACTGCTCAAGTTACAGCTGTTTTAAAATGATGGCGTCTAGGTAGCTATATATATTACCAAGCAAACAGATGTTGAACTTTGCACAGGTTTACACTTGTAGTTTGTGTGTCCCATTTTCATATTTTTATCAAATACCAAAAAGTTAACAGAAGAAAACTTAATTTTAGTACTTAAATTTGATGATAGCAAATTTATTGATAGTTTCACTAAAACATTGTTAACTAAATGTTTCTTTTTAATCCAGTTCTACATCATGTGGTAGAAAGAATACAGTTATTTGTGGTTAATCATAGAGATGCTTAATTCACAATATATACAAGGGGACCTCAGAAAGTCCATATACAAATGGTATTAAAAGTACAAGATTATTGGGACCAGCAGTTAGCATAATGGCTATGTCGCTGGACTCCCATGTAGTCGACCATGGTTTGAGTCCCGGACCTGGTGGTTTAGACTAACGAACACCACACATATGTGTACGTGCCCAAGATACCGAGAGGAGAGTGGAGGAGAAGGGATTGCAGCGTGGCCATCTCCCCTGGGAGGTGATTTCTTGCTTTCTGTCTCTCTATTTCTCTGTCTCTGTCTGGTGAGTGCGTGCGCCTTATAGCAAAAACCTCTCCAAAAAAAGAAAGTACAAGATTATTTGGCTGAAAAAAGATTTTGAAGTCCTTGCATACTTTTTATCTTTTTCCTTGAATGTTTAAAAATTCCCTCCTATTTGAGGTGATGATGAGGGTGTGTCCCCCTTCCCCCACTGGTTACTTATGTGTAGCTGTAATTTTAACTGATACTAAGTTTCTGTTGGGTTGTTGGGAAAGTCATGACACATTTTTGCATAGAAAAACATGTCATGACTTTCCTGACAACCTAATATAAACTAAAAACCAACCCTGTCCTCTCAAAAACACTTTTTTGATGAGAAGTGTGTGACATGAAGTGTGGAATCAGAAAGTGGCCATTAAATTTGAAACAGTAAATTCAATACCATGGACCCTAGAGTGGAACTATAGGTAGAACAGCAGACATTTCCATAGAATTATTAATGATGATTCTGATATCTTCAACTTAACATACATATGTGTTTATTTCGTGTAACATTTGCACGTATTTGTCTTAAAAAGTCATGTTAATTGTTTTCATAGCAGCTGTTCTGTGAGTTTGTAAGAAATCTGTGGCTCTTAGCTTAATGGGTGCAAGACTTCACTCCAGTGGTGGTCTGGTGTCATTTGGAGGCAGTGTAGTTCATTGGTTAAGAGCATTTGTCATGTAGATGTTTGCTTAGATTCATCCTCTACCTTGTGTGACTTAGATTAAACAAAATTCTGTTGCTGAGCTTTGTTTTCTTTGATCTTTAAAATGTAAGTGGTATCTGCATGGGGCGGAGGAACAAGGGTTGTTGAGAGAATGAATGAAATAATGTTGTGGAAAATGTTCAGTGCAGCCGCTAGTTCTTTTTCAGTATTCAAAAATAATATCACCGTGTAGGAAGGCAATCTATAGGAAAAATACACTGGAAATGTGGGACTTGCTCTCTCTGCCCTTACTGAGAAGGAAAAAAGTTATGAATTATGTAATGACTATGGCTGAGACTTAGATAGCTGTGAGTACACTGTAGAATTTGTTTCTAGCAATGCTTTGTGTGAGGGAATCCCTTCAATTGCTCCCAAGTCTGTTTCTTACATTCCAATACAATTAGATGGTCTTTATTTATTTATTTTTTTTTTGGAGAGGTTTTTGCTATAGGGCGCGTGTACTCACCAGAAAGACAGAGAGAAAAAGAGACAGAAAGTGAGAAATCATCCCCCGGAGGGGGAGAGGATGGCCACACCACAATCCCTTCTCCTCCATTCTCCTTTTGGGATCTTGGGCACGCACGCACACTTGCTCAGCATGAATTTAAGCCACCAGGTCTGGGACTCAAACCGCGGTTGACTACGTGGGAGTCCAGCGACATAGCCATTATGCTAACTGCTGGTCCCTAGATGTTCTTAATTTTTAAAAGACAGTTCATAAAGTATTCTTTGTACTGTAAAATAATGATGTGCCCACTCCTTATTAAAATAAGCTTATTAGTTTTTTTGCCTTGATTAATGTGCCAAATGGACAAAAGTTACTCTAAATCACCTGTAATGTTCCTAAGTATTGGAAGTTTTGGCAGCACAGATAGAAAATCTCTGCTTTTGCACTGATATGTGCACAGTGATTTCCACTGGTGATAAAAACAACAAAAATGGTCCCCACAAAAGCTTTTCTAGGCTCAGAAGAACAAGTAATTAGCACAACACGTCAGAGTGCCTGCCCCATCTGACTTAAAGTTCATCTCCACTGACTTAATTCTGTTTTGGTTGTATCTTAATCAAATAATCATGCACACTGTAGAGTTGGTGATTGTTTCTGTTTTTGTCTCTTCCCCCCCTTTTCAATGAAAACATTTATATATCAAAATGTGATGCCTTTTTCCTAATGTAAAAATGTGAATAGAACAGCATCAAGATTATAGTTCTCTTTACCTAGCTGTATGTCTCATTTATCAGCTTTTCTGTTTTCAGTATTTGCTGGCCGTTGGTTAATGTCATTTTGGACGGGAACTGCCAAAATCCATGAGCTCTACACAGCTGCTTGTGGTCTCTACGTTTGCTGGCTGACCATAAGGGCGGTGACGGTGCTGGTGGCATGGATGCCTCAGGGACGCAGAGTTATTTTCCAGAAGGTTAAAGAGTGGTCCCTCATGGTAGGTTTTTGTAATAAAAGACTTAATCTTGTCAATGGAAGTGGAGAATATTTTTCTGCTTATGTTTTACAATCTTTTCTTTTTACTTTTATTTGTTTTACATTGTGCTGATAGTGTCCAAAAAAAAGTCGACTCTTTAAATTATAAGGAATATTTCTTTAAGATATAATTCTGGATCATTCTAAGAATCAGTTTTACCTTCAGGTGTATTTGAGGGTTAAAAGACAAACATACGAGGGCCAGCAGGTGGCGTGGTGGTTAAAGACGCTGGATTCCACATGGCTGACCATGATTCAAGTCCCGGACCTGGCAGCTTGCTTTCTTGCTTTCCCTTTCTTTCTCTCTGTCTTTGTCTGGTGTAATTAAAAAATAATAATAGTAAATGGGAATAAAAAATAATTATTAAAAAAATAGAGACAAACATGCTACTAAGTGACCCAGTTTGGCCCTTGAATAGGTAATATAATAAGAAATTTAAATGATTTATTTTCAGAGCTTGATTGCATATTTAAAGAGTGAGATCTATATAGAACTTAAAAATCAACCTGAGGCAGAATTTCCTTTTACTGGTATTTTTTTCAAATACTAGATTTTTGGACTTATTTGAACATGTAAAATTTTGACTTCAGGAACCAGTTGATGTTTTTCATATACAAGGTATCTTCAGAAAGCCCATGGAAAATGGGTATGATGAGACTACTGTGCGTGGATGGCCTAATGGTTACATCACTGGACTCTCCCACATAGTTGACTGTAGTTCAAGTCCTGGACCTGGTGACCTAACGCTCATGCCGGGCTTGCTTGCGATCATGCCCAAAATCCTGAGAGGAGAATGGAGGAGAAGGGATTGTGCTGTGGCCATCCCCCTGGGGGGTGATTTCTCACTTTTTTGTCCCTGTCTTTTTCCCTCCAGTGAGTGCACACACCCTATAGCAAACGACTTTCTTAAAAAATAAGTAAAATAAAATAAATTTATACTAACTTGTCTGAACAGGAACTGATTTGAGGCACTAAGGAGAATAAGAGTTTGAAGAGTTTCTATTAGAGCAGTATGAATTGTGCTAGAGTCAAATTTATGGTGAAGCTTGATTGAAAGAATGATGAAATCATTATCGTGTTACAAAGGGTTTATGGGACAATTCCCCAAAGTCAGTAGTTTCATTTTAAAAAATATTTGTTATTTATTTATATTTAATTTTACTTATTCATTTTTAAAATTTGATCAGAGAGAAGAAGAGCGAGAGAGAGAGGGAAAGTAAGAAAGCAAGCCACCAGGTTTGGGTCTCGAACATGGTCTTTCATATGGAAGAGTCCAGTGCCTTAGCCTGTTGGTCCCGGTAGTTTAATTTTTTTACTATTATTACTATTTAATATTTTAGTTTGCTATAGGGCACATATGCTTGCTGGAGAGAGACTGGGGAGGGAGAATGTAAAATTTGGCCAACTCTGTTCAATGCATGGCAAAACTTCTGGACATCTAGTTGCTGGCAAGAGCAGATCTTTCACTGGATATTTTGAATAAGGGGGTTCAAGATCCTGAAGCATTTCCTCAAAGAACTGTAGCTGGAGAGATTACATACGGCCTTCCCGGTCTGACTCTGAAGATAAAGTGCAGTCCGAGCAGAGGGGGAAGTGGCCGGTCAAAGCAAAAGCAGGCTGGGCAGGAGCAGAGTTCACAGCCACAGTTTCACGGGATGTGCAAGACATCTTGCATGCTGACCTTGTGGTGGGTCAGAGAACACAACATCTTGGTATGAGTGTTTTTGAGAAAGTCAGCTGAAGTTTTAGTAGGAAAAAGCCCAGGAAAGCTTTACCAGCGAGACCTTCTCTGCCATGACAATCTTCTGCTCACTCCTCTCATCAGATAAGGGCAGCTTGGGTAAAATTCTGTGAGAACGCATTAGGCATCACCTTAGTGCTCGATTTGGCTCGCTCTGGCTTCCTTTTTTCCCTAATCTTAAAAATCTTTCAAGTGAACTCCTATTTCTTCAGTTAATGTTCTGTGAGAAAAAAGGACATAGGCATGGTACAATCCCCAGGACGCTCAAGCTAAATGGCTGGTATCGTGGCGTATAGAAGTGTCTTGAGCTTGATGGAGCTTATGTTGACAAATTCTGTATTTCTTATTTTTATATTTTAATTTCATTTTCCACAAACTTTTGACATGTTCTTATAAATGGGATTCCTTTAATTAGATGGAGGGTGGTTAATTAAAGAATGTCTTGGCTATTGTGAAAATGTAAAAAAATAGTGGAAGTAACTACTCACAGTGGAGAACCTGATGGCTACTTATGTATGATTTATGTCTTGTCTCTCTGCATGTAATGCTCGCTGCAGCCGGGGAGTGTGTTTAGGTTGTTGCTGTGTCTATTTGTTTATATAGTCAGTTTCTCTTTTGATTGCACTTCAAGTTTCATATCCATTTAATTTTAAGTGTTGAAAAGAACATGAAATCCTTTTTTTTTTTTTTTTTGGTGAAATAGAATTTTACGACTTTTGACTAAAACATTGTTGATTTTTTTAAATTGCAATTTATTTATTTGCATTCATTCACTGTACATCATTACAGCATACAAAATGAGATTTTCCATCCAGAGTACACTGTATATTGTCTCAATCAAGCACATCAACAAACATGTTATTGTCAGCAAATGATCTTCCATTTCTTGTTTTCTGTATGTTTTGCTCCCCCCCCCATCCTTGATTCCCTATCTCTTACCCTCTGCCATCTCCCACTCTCCTCCCACACTGTCTCTGGTATCTATGTTTGCTTTCTATACTGTTTTCCCCCCACATTTTATTGAATCACCAAAGACCCTAATCAATCCAAATACCCTCATAGCAAACACAGGTGACACACACATTTCCATGAACACAAGTCTAACTTTACGCATCCTATAAAGTAGCACCTAGCTGGGGCTACATATCCTAC